CACTGGGTTGTTGCGACTCTCCTGTCCCAGGAGCTGGGTTACACAAAAACTACCCAAACACAAAAAAAATGTTGCAATAAAATAACCATGATTTTTAGAGTATATGTGCATACTATAAAAGCAACTGATGCAAGCTGATAATCACTTAAGTGGATCCACTAAATGATTGCGCGAATGCTCCATTACCTCTCCATGCTCTGATCACTTGATCACTGATCACGCTTTATTCCGGGACCTCGCAATTTACAAATTAAACACTGTTCGTAGCGTTATAAATGATAAAGGCTTAATATCTAGGCTACCTGCTAAAAAAAAAAATACGGTTTTGGTCCAAAACCATGTTTTGTTTTGTTTTTTTGGATGTATCCACCTGTGTCTCCCCCACATTTTCTCTCACAGTAGGCTATAATCTTACCGTTCAGAAGCGCGTGTCGGGCTTTAAAACTCATCAGACATCACCAGTAGCAAAGGTCATTCATGTCCGGATAGTTTTATTAATTTTGATGACATTTATGGAAGTACATGAGGGTGGTTTGCATGTGATATTGACGCCGCTCAGGTGGGGCACAGCGCGGGAGCGGCATTACTATGAAGCTAAGTTAATTTAGAGTTAGAATAACTAAGGGGTGATAACTTGTTGATATGAGTGCAATAATTCCAAAGAATGCCCAAAAGATAAACTAAAATCTCTGTCCTTTTTGCCGCCCTGACTGTGCTGCCGCCTTAGTTCGCCTATATGCACGCGCCGGCCCTGCACGTATCAGTCTCACATTTACCAATTGCTTCCAAAACAAAATATTCTATAATGCTTTTAATTTACATTGTTTACAAAGACAAATGTCTTTTTGTTCTTCAATTCAGAGTTACTCTAGCTTTGATGTCTGATATTTTACAAAAGCATGAAGCACATTAGTGGTACAGGAAATATTCAAATCTGATAAGAAACACAGCATACCCTTCAGAGTCATACCCTACAGAATCGCTCACCAAACCTGCACCCAGACCTGTGAAGACAGGAGCAGGCTCTTCCTCTTTCCCCTGCATCACACACAGAAATACAGTAATCAGATTTCATGTCATAATTGATGGAGAAAAATCAAGTGACCATTGACAGGATGTTTGTAAAAATGAGGCAAGATGTGTATACGCTATCATTATGGGTCGGTAAGATTTTTAAATGTGCTGTATTTCTGTGTGTACAGTACAGTAACTGCAATAACAGTAACTGCAATAACGGATTTATTACTGACATACTGTGCATATATGTGAAATATTATTCCAATTTAAAACCTTTAAAACTTTAAAACATTTTTAAACTTTAAATGGTTTTTCAACAGCCATTATTCCAATCTTCAGTGCCACATGCTCCTTCAGAAATCATTCTAATTTGCTGATTTGGTGTTCAAGAAACATTTCTTATTATTATTGTTGAAAACAGTTATGCTGCTAATTATTTTTTTGTGGAAACTGATACATTTCTTCTCAGGATTCTTTAATGCATAGAAAGTTCAAAAGAATGACATTTATTTGAAATAGAAATCTTTTGTAACATTCTAAATGTCTTTACTGTCCCTTTACATTAATTTAATGTGTCCTTGCTGAATAAAGGTATTCATTTCTTAAAAAAAAAAAAAAAAATCTCGCTGACCCCAAACGTTTGAACGCTAGTGTTATCTGGATGAGTGTATGTATGTACCTTATTCCTGTTCAGCTGAGCAAGTTTAAGACACCAGGGATGGGTCCATATCAAACTCAGAACATGAAGGTCCTGAAACAAATTGTTCACACCTACTCCTTTCCCTAAAACAAAGACAATATTTGGCTCAGTGTATGCTAGTTAGGTGGTATGACAAAAATCTTAATGTGATGTTGCAAAATCTGTTATATAAGAACCATTAAGCAATTGTAAGCCATGTCAGTATATAAGGCTATTTTTATGCAATACTGGATTAATATATCACCCAATTATACGATATTTGTGAATGCTCATTTCTCCTGTTTTTACATTTTTACATTATCTTTGTCACCATCTAAAGTTGACTTATGGTTAATTTCCACAACATAATTTAATAACTCTGTTAAATCTCAAAATAAAAATACATTATAATATTATTGTACATTATAATTATATGATGCCTATATTTTTATTTGCAACATTTACAATGATTTTAGTTTTTAGTGTTTTATTTTTAATTTATTTAGAAAATAAATTGTATAGAAATTTAATATCAGCCATACCTTGAAAAGAACTACTGGCTTAATCTCTACAGGCTGACACATTTCTACTGGTGCAGTACTTTTTAAGCTCTAGTTTGTGCTTGTGAGACTCTGACCTGTGTAGTTCTGCAGATAGTGTGTGTATAACTGACACTGCAGAGACGTCATCCTGACTGACAGCACATACTCGTGCTTTGGTGGCAAACAGGCCATCAAGACTGAGTAGTCCCGCCTCTGCAACACAAACACAAATCATTTAGACTTTTTTTTACGGCTTTTAGCTCTATTTCTTTCTCTCTCTTCATCACCTGTATGAATCCTGACATTAATTGATGGAGGATGTGCGATCTATTCTTCATGAGTCTGACATCAGCAGGGGTGGAGTCTGCGCACTGACCGTTCTGAATTGGATTAATAAAACGGTTCCGGAACTCCTTTAGAGAGCCCAGCAGATTCTCCTTAATGAAGTTCACCATGCAGTGATCTAGAACAATAAACAAAAAAGAAATAAATAATACACATTAGGGCTGTCAAAAAAAAATCCACATTCGAATGCAAAAACGTTGCATTCGAATTTTAGGTGTGCGTCAGGCAGCCTTATCAGTGGCGCACGAAATGTGACGACGATGTAAGTGTCATTGCATTTTAATGCTTTTGTTAGCCTGTCCATTTGAACCCACTAGATGTGGCGCTGCTACGTTGTTCATTCAATATATTGCAGAAAATAGAACAATCAATGCGGGGAAACCGAAACCAAGCCATTCACACAGAACGCATATTTATTGCATTTTCTAGAGGGACTATCACCGTTGCACTCGCGTCTTGCACAAGAGAGCCGCATGTTTAGAAAGCTATGTAAAATTAATGTAAGTTAAACTTTTAGGAGTTTTGCATTACCGCCACCTATCTCTCAAATGGACCATTGACACTCTATCTACAATCTCAATTAGGAGTGTCAATGGTCCATTTGAGAGATAGGTGGCGGTAATGCACTTAAGTCTGCGATCCGCCATAAAGCAAGACAGGCGCCGGCTGTTGAACGTGCTCAGGACAGTTCAGACATTGCAGTGCATCAGAGGTAAAAAACGATATAAATACTGTTCAGTTTCTTGCACAGACTGATCGTTTCGTGTCTTTACACATCAATGTATCGTCACGAGCCGCAGGGTTTAATTTGGTTTTGTTTATGTATGGTTTTTTTTACTCTCAAAGCCGTGATTCCCATTCACTTCAATTATAAGACTGACAGACTGCAACGGTTTGAGTTAAAAATCTTCATTTGTGATCTACTGAAGAAACAAAGTCATCTACATCTTGGATGCCCTGGGTAAGCAGATAAACATCAAATTTTCATTTTTGGGTGAACTATCCCTTTAAGGTAAAAAAAAAATGAATAAGGAAGTCACTTTTCACAAGCAGCTTATTATATATATGGAGATGAAAGGTGATTACACTCAGTAAGGTTGTTTTGAAGCGGTGTTCCCGTCAATATGATTCTCCTACGTGTCCGTAGAACTCGCATGGCTTTTGAGATGCTGGAGTCCGCATTCCTAAGGACATGACCCTCGTCACATACCACCAGATCAGGGCCTAATATACAAATCAATGGTTTTAAAATAATATTCAAAATAAAATATAACAGTTTTCCGTATTTGATGATGGATTATTCAGATAAACTTACCTGGATCCAGGAGCATTGAGCGGAGGGCTTCTTTGTGTTCACTGTATTTCGCACTATCTGTGTGTGTCAGTGTACGAAAAACCTCATAACCCATGATCATTACGCCACCATTCGTAAACCAGTCATTCAACAGCTCAACACGAACAGCCACAGACTTCACCATGGCCAGCTCTGCCACCTGTGTGTGAAAGACCCGAGAGAGAAGGCAGAGATAATCAGAAAAATTAACCAGTGATGCAACAATGTCAAATTATACAGGTAATTCACTCAAAAATGTTAACTACTGTCATTCTCATGCTGTTTGAATTTTCTGCATTTTGTTTTCCTCTGTACAATACAAAAAGATGATGCTTAGCAGAATGTTTAGACTCCATCTACAAAAGTGGTCAGTGATCTTAACCGTCCAAAAAAACTCCATAAAAGTCCACTGGGCTTTGCCTATTCAAAATTGTATTGAAGGGTTATTTTAACCCTGGATTAATGTAGCCTTGTGTTAACTTTAAACCTTTTGCACTGCAATTTATGTACTACAAATGCCTAACTACTGGTTAAAAGTGGCCTTAACCTGGGATTGAAAAAGGTGTTAACTCAGGGTTACAAAAGTGTAGCGTGAAAAGCCTAAACATAACTTGAGGGCTTTTTCTGAAGCAATATGATAGCTTCAAGAGAAAAATCTAAAAGAAAATATATTTTGACCATTTTAATTTTTGGGTGAATTATTCTTTTTAAGCCACCACAAAACAGAAAATAGACAGAGCTGCACAGAGAAAGATGAAACTCTGAAAAATGCCCATATGTTAGCTAGTTCTGCAACTCTTTGACTCACTGACCACAGCACCATTAACTTTTGAGTGTCAGAAAGAAATTAATACTTTTATTCAGCAAGGGAAAAAAAACATATCACAGTTTTCATAAAAATAATAAGCCATACAAGCATTTTAAACATTGACAATGCTAAAAAATGTTTATTGAGCACCAAATCAGCATATTACAATGATTTCTGAAGGATCATGTGACACTGAAGACTGGAGCAATGGCTGCTGAAAATTCAGCTGAGCCATCACAGGAATAAATTACATTTTAAATTTTATTTTAATATAGACAGTTATTGGAGACAGTTATTTTAAATTGTATTCATATTTCACAATATCATTGTTTTTTACTCTATTTTGGATCAAATAAATGCAGTCTTGAGGAGTATAACATTTCTTTCAAAAAATCTTATTGACCCAAAACTGTTGAATTTCTGACATAAACATGACCTAGATCAAAAACACAAACTAAAGTCACCTGAAAGAGGAAGTGAGAGAATTCTACTGACCCTCAGTATGTTGGGTCTTAAGCCCCTATGCCACTGGTCAAACTCGCTCTTCCAGTTCAGCACTGTGTTGAGAGGACAAACCACCAGAGCTCTGTTCAGTGGCAGCACTTTACACAGCAGCACTGAGTGAAGGAACACAATGACCTGAAACAAACACATACACAGTTATGCTTTCTGTGAAACTCACACTTTCTGATTTTACAAAGAAAAGGAGAATATTCATATGCCCCATACCTGAAAGGTCTTTCCCAGGCCCATGCAGTGGGCCAGAATACAGCCAGAACCTGGAGTCGTCTTCACACTCTGTATGGATTCACAACAGCAGTCCCACATGAACCGCACACCTAACAACAAATTAACACACACTTACATACACATTACACAAACCATCTTCACACACTGGCACTGGGTCACATCACTAACTTGCATTTCGCAATGCTGCTTCATAAATGTATGTGAATGTAACTATGAGAAACAAGCAATCACCCATGCACTGATTGAGTTCTACTATTAGACTGAATATATACTGGCTTAATTTCCCATGTCATGATTAAGTCATTAGGGAAATATTATAAGGCATACCCTCTGACAAGCCTTGAACAATACAATACCATTCAAAAGTCAGTACCTTTGTCCTGCAAGAACGCATTAAGCTCATGATACACTGGGCAACTTTTTGAGCAATGTTGCTTGGGCACTTTCACATTGAGAATGGATAACAAATGTCTATCTGGATACTTTAGATTGGTCGTGGACCCTGTGTCTCATCTGGTTGCCCGTTGACGGCAACATTGCCCAAAGTTGCCCGGCAGCATTGCTCAAAAAGTTGCCCCGTGTATCATCAGCTTTATAAGTTACTCAAACGTGACAGTAAAGACATTTATAATGTTACTAAGGTTTTCTATTTCTAATAATTAAACTTCCTGTCTATCCAAAAATCCTGAAAAAAAAAAAATATTATATTATGGTTTCCACAAAAATATTAAGCAGCTCTACTGTTTTCAACATTGGTGGTGATAAAAATGTTTCTTGAGCACAAAATCAGCATATTAGAATGATTTCTGAAGGATCATGTGGCCCTGAAGACTGGAGTAATGGCTGCTGAAAAGATTTGCCATCACAGGAATAAATTACATTTTAAAATATATTCAAATAGAAAACATTTATTTCAATTCTAAGAATATTTAACAATTTTACTGGTTTTTTTTTTTTTGGGATCAAATAAATAGAGCCTAAATCCAGTTTCTTAGAGTTTGCCACAGGTCTTCTATGAACTATAAACCAGAAATCTGCATGGGTCCTTTTTGGTAAATCCGCACCCGCAGTGCACCCATAGTAATTAACAGAACACCCAACCTATTATCCAATAAAACCACAAATGCAATTGCTTACCCGACCTGACCCATTTAGGACCATAATCTGAACCGAATACCTTAAAATAAGTCTACTACATCAGGGAGATAAAAATTGACATCAGAGGGGAGTTTTGAAGAGCTCCTGCACAGTGCAGCTATTACATGTGTCATATTGTCAGCCAGAGGTGACTTAAAACATCTGAAAGCATAAAAGGTATAAATAAAGAACAATGAACATTATCTGACATATAAAAACAGCCTTTGCAATTTGACCCACAGTCCACACATGCCCATTGATTCCTAACCCACATCGGCACTGCAAATGCTAAATAATTTTTAAAACAACTACATCAAATATTAGCATTTCACCCAATGTGCAGGACTCTGACTTAAGCTGTCCCAACTGCTTCTGTCTCTTTACGTAATCCTATACTATGTCTATATTATTGACTATATTATGTCTGTATAGGTCTTTCATTAAGTTTTAAGTTTTATTTAATTTGAGTTATTTTAATACTTCAACAAACTAAATGGAAATGAAATAATATATATATTGAATTTATA